CCGGCGTCTCGAGATATTTTCGCCAGACCATGCCACAGCGGCGGGACCGGCGGTGACGTTAGCGGCCAGGAAGTTTTCGAAGCTGATGGAGAAGGTCACCGACCAGGACAGCAGGCCACGAAGCAACAAAGGAGGCAAGGGAGATGCCGGCTGGGGTCGACCCGATCGCTGGCAGGAAAAAGGAAAGCGAGGCAAAGGCGGCAAGGACGGCAAAGAAGACCGAAGGCAGAACTGGGGAGGCAGGGGCTCCCCGAAGAAAGGCCAGTGGAGCAATTGGTGGCAGAAGCCGAAGGGGCAGAAGGAGAACAGTTCCGACAAGGGAGACAAGGGAAAGGAGGAGTGATGGAGCGGCATTTGAGACGCTCTTGGTTGGACGAAATGCTAGCCTCTGCTGGAGATCTATCCGCGCTGGGGCTCAGCATGTATTTTGAGCTTTTCCGGAGCCCGGCGATCGATGGAGGTCGCCCTTGGCACTACTTCCGCGCTTTTGCTGCGCTGAAAAAAGTGTGTCTTAGCTCTGGCCAGCTATCACGAGTGCTGCACTCTAAACGTCAGGTTTTCCCTCTCCCTTCTTTTGTTTTCCCAATTTTGTCGAACGTCGATGAGTTTTTTGATTTTGAGTCCTTTGTGAAGGGGGCTCAATGTCGGGCAACCCTTGCTAGGGCCTGCTGGTGTGAATTAGTAGTTCTGTTTGCTAATCATTTGGCCTGTGGTAATGCTACCCGTGCGTGTTCACGTCCTACGGCGGTGCAACGTGATTTGATGAGCTCAATCCGGGCTGCTGTTGACAGGATCTTGATGGATGACAGTCACGTGCTTTGGGGGGTTTCAGAAATCAAAGAAGATTTTCAGAAAAGAACCGTGTCCTACAGCGGAGAAGAAATTTGCAAGGCTGAAGCGTTGAGCCTAGCCAGAATCAAACCTGGACTTCCTCCTGAAGGTCACGGAGGGTCAATTGAAGCTGTCAAGTGGGTTGGAGGCAGGACACGTGAGCTTCTGTTGAATCCCCTCGGTTGCTTGTGCCCGGATGTCGGGCAAGATCTCCCAAGGTTGCAAGGAAAGGTTCATATAGTGCGAGAAGAGGCTCTTACTGTGGCGATGGAGCTGGTCCGACGAGGCATTTGTCGTTGGACCCACTCTTCTGAGGTCGTCACCTATAGAGGCCAGAAGGTTCTGAACGGACTGTTTGGAGTACCTAAGAGCAAGTTGCTGGAGAGTGGCGAGAGTGTGCTCAGGGTCATCATGAATTTGGTCCCCATCAACTCTGTCCTACGTGTCATCCCTGGTAGGGTCGCCAAGTTGCCTAACATTACCCAGTGGCTGAACGTTGTTTTGGAAGAGGGCGAAACAGTCCGTCTAGCTCAGTCGGACATGACTTGTGCTTTTTACCTTTTCGGCATGCCAATTGAGTGGAGCAGACTTCTGTGCTTCAACCTTAGTTTCGACTCCTCCACGTTAGGCGTTGAGGCAAGGTCTAACTCGGAAGACAAGTGGTATTTGTCATGTGCCGTACTCCCGATGGGTTGGAGCTCAGCTGTGGGCGTGATGCAAGAGATCGCAGAAAGTGTGTTGCTTCAAGGTGGAGTGGATGACCAAGGACAAATACATAAGACCTGCCCCCTGCCCAGTTGGATGATTAACAGTACCTCTGAGGGTATGCGTCAAGGCCGTCCTTGGTGGCATGTCTACCTAGACAACTTTGCTGGGGGCGCAAAGGTAGTTGAAGGACACCCGAAAGAGCTCATTGAGTTGCAACGCACGGCAGAGGCGCTTTGGGGCGAGGCAGGTATTGTAGTGTCAACTGACAAGTCAGTAGTGGCCGCTGAGAGTGGAGTAGAGCTGGGTGCCTTTATAGGTGGCTCCGGTCAGTGGATTGGCGCCAGTTGTGAAAGGATGATTAAGATCATCAAGAGCACATTGTGGCTTATCCACCAGCCCAGCATCTCCAAGAAGAAGCTGCAGATCATGATGGGACGGTGGTGTTTCGCTTTGCAATTCCGCCGACCGGGTATGTGCCAGTTTGATGCTGTCTGGGCCTACATCAGCTCCAAGCGCCCCCGTGCTAGGCAGATTGAGGAGGTCAGGCAGGAGCTACTTTTTGCGGTTTTAGGGACCCCCCTTTTCCATACTTGGCTAGGATCCCGGATCGATGAGGTGATTACCTGCAGTGACGCGAGCCAGAAAGGAGGTGCCATTGCCATCTCGCGAAGTCTCTCAATGGAAGGAGAAGGGTTTTTGGAATCTCAGAATCAGAAGAACCACCCTTTGGCCATCCCGGTATTGGTGATATCCCTTTTCAACGGGATAGGGGGCGCAGCGAGGCGCTATGACGTGGCAGGCGTGAAGGTGAAAGCCTATTTGGCATGCGACATACACAAACCTGCAAACCGAACTATGGCTCGGAGATGGCCAGACACAATCTTCTGGGATGACGTGAAGACTTTGACCCTGGACAAGCTCAGAGAATTGTTGGAACATGTGGAGGACTTTGAAGAAGTTCACTTGTGGGCAGGATTTCCCTGTGTGGACCTCAGCAGCGTTAGGGCGAACAGACTGAATTTGGAAGGAAAGTCCAGCGGGTTGATCCGTGAGGCCGTGAGGATTTTTGATGACACCAAGTCTCTTTTTCCCCAAGCTGCCTTCCACTTCTTTGTGGAAAACGTGTCTAGCATGGACTACAGTGCCAGGGATGAAATTAGTCGCATGTTAGGTGTTCTGCCCTACAAGGTGGATCCCAAGGAGCAAGTTCCGAACTCAAGACCTCGATATTGTTGGACTACAATGAATATGGAAAATTTGGATGGCCTCCACATCACTGAAAAGCCTGGGTACAAGGAAATTTGGGTTGCCGGAGAATGGCCAGCCCCCGCACAGTGGCTCACCCCGGGTTGGGAGCAAGCAGCCCCGGGGGTTATCTATCCCACATTTATGAAAGCAATCAGGCGTGAAAGGCCTCCCCCTAGGCCGGCTGGAATAGAGCGAACTGACGCTGGTACCCGGCGCCGGTGGGAGAGCGAGGCCTTTAGGTTCCCTCCTTATCAGTACAAGTCCCAGTATGTAGTTTACAACCCAGCTGGAGAAGGCAGGCTCTTGAATGCAGATGAGCGTGAGCTACTCATGGGCTACGGCAGATCCCATACAATGCTCTGCATGTCTGCCTCGGAGGCGAAAGGACAACCCACGTCATTTGAAGATGAAAGGTGCAGCTTAGTGGGGGACAGTTTTTCTATTTGGTCTTTTGTCTTATTTGCTGGTGCTGCGGTTGCCAAGTACACTGGTATTTTTAAGCCGGACCTCTTATTTTCACGCATGGGTCTCCCCCCGGGCGCTGGCCTGCACCCGGCCTTGAGCTGCCCACTTCAATTTGGCTGCCTTTTCCCTAGTTTCTCTGCGCCCCGAACGGTTAAGCAGTTGAATGATCACCTCTGTGCCCGCGTAAAGCACACAGGGTCAGACATTCGTATTACCACAGGACAAGTTATGAACCCGAGCGCTCTGCCGCGGCAATCGGTTCAAGCCAGTTGGTGGAACTGGACCGCCGTGTTTAGCAGGCGCTGGAGTCAAACTGAGCATATAAACGCCCTTGAAATTCGGGCAATATACCTCACTATTCTTTGGAAAGTGATGAACAGGCAGTTGGTAAATCGGCGGATGTTTCACCTCACCGACAGCTATGTGGCCCTCTCTATACTTTCTAAGGGTAGGACAGGGAGCGCCAAGCTCAGGTATATTGTGCGCAAGATCAACTCCTTACTTTTGGTGAGCCACTCACTCCTTCACCTAGCCCACGTTGATTCCTACGAGAATCCTACCGATGCCGCGAGCCGCGCCTGAGCTGCTACGACGACAAAGGCTGCGACACCGAAAGGGTTTAAGCCTTCATGACCGAGCGGTGACACTGAAAACCAGAATCAGGTATTTCGTTGCTGTTTCAGCCCTATTGCCCGCTCTTGAAAAGACAAAGGACGACATTGATGATTTTCTCATCGCTTGGATTGACCTCCAATATGTCCAAGGCGCCAGTATCACTTCCGTAGCGGATGCCCTATCAGGCCTGCACCATTATCTCCCATGGAGCCGAGGTAAAATTCGTGAAGCATGGAAGCTTTATGGTGTTTGGAGAAAGTTGGAAAAACCCAAACAGGCACCCCCATTTCCTGTCAATGTCGCGGAAGCATTAGTTGGACGTTGTGTAGATCTCGAGGACCTCAGGCTGGCTCTGTGCCTCTGCCTGGGGTTCTGGGGAATGCTGAGGACTGGCGAGATCTTTGATGTCAAATTCAAACACCTCTTGCTAGGAAAAGAGAACATGATTGTGCGGCTGGGAGACACAAAAACCGGGCTGCGCCGACAAGTCGATGAGAATGTTATCATTGACCATGTCCCCACCATGATGATCGCTCGGACACTATTTGATATTGGAGTTTCACGTCACGAACATGTTTGGGGGGAATCAAAAGAGCAATTTCGAGAGGGCTTTCGTCAACTCCTGAAGTTCTTCCATTTGAAGGCCTCTTTCAGGCCCTACTCCCTCCGTAGGGGGGGTGCTACAGAAGATTTCCGCCTTCACGGCTTGATGGAAAGGTCACTTTTACGTGGTCGCTGGGGCTCCAGCTTTGCTGCAAGGCAATACATACAGGAAGGTTTGTCCATGCTGACTAAATTGTCCCTTCCCCCCCGTTCCCTGCCCTTGCTATCCCACTATCGTTCTCTTTTGGCCCTCCATTAATTCCGGTCCAGTACTGGGATCGTGGAAAAGTGCTTGGATAAAGGCCGAAAGCTTTCAGTTGGATTCATTTGTTTGGCTTACTCACATGACCTGCCAATATGGTCACTGGCC